AAAGAGCATAAAATAAGTGTTCAGCCTAGCCTCCATTTTGAGAAAAGGTTCTGGAATTAGCATCTGCATCTGTGGAATTGTGGAAATATCCTTCAAGGATTATGGGAGATGCCAAGCATAAGGTGGGAATTTCATTTCTTTTCCCACAATTACCTTGAGCTCCTTGAAAACTCACAGTAGCCACTGTTGCAGAAAACTGTACTGAGAAAGGCAGGTTCAGTACTTACAGGGAAGGGTGATTGCAATAGAGTAGTAAAGCATAAATGGGGATTCAAGATAAAACTGAAAGAACATGGCTAGAGCAGACACAGCTGAAATTTTGCTGCTTATACAGATGCTTTCTCAATAGATAAGCTACCAGTGTTTCAGTTCTCTGGTGCAAATGCAGAGCCACTGGGCTTCCTGGCCAAGAAACTCCCCTGGATATATCTTTGAATATCTGTAAAGGTGTTAATTTGTACACTCCAGTTGAACATGAAATATTTTGATCTTTTTCATGTAAGGGCTGTAATGTTCTTCCAGGTGCATTTAATTTGGGAAGCAGAATAATTAGCCTTTTCCTGGACACAAACAGTTGTTTCCTTCTCCTGTCTGGATAATTACACATGCCTTCCATTTTTTTTTTTAGTATTATATTGAACCTGCTCCTTGAAATAACTAGATGTCATCCACCTCTTGTCCCTTGCAGGGTTATTTTCAACATTATTTTAATTTAGAAGCACATGAACACTTAGCTTACTCTGTACTCAGACTAAACTTCACCCACATATCTGTCTTTGTTCAAGTAAAAACTAACTGTCACTACTATACTAGGCATGACTTTCTTTCCTGGGTGAAAGCCCTTTGGATGCTAACTTGGCTCCTATTAAATTGAATCAGGTTATTTCCTAAAGTTGATTATCATTCTTTTTCTTTCTCAGATGCTAAATTTTAAAGGAGAAGCTCCTGTTTTCCAGTAACTCCACTGACAGTCATTGCTACTTTGTATCATATGAATTCCTGAGATATGTAGCTCCCTCGATAACAACATTTATACAAAATCAACTTTAGCTCCAATAGCAGACCTGGGGTGTTTTGAAAAAGAGCTTGAATTCTACCGCCACTTTATTGTAGTCCCTTCCAGATCCCACTTTGCATTAAGGATACATTAATAAACAGTTTATAAAGAGTTAATAAATGATTAATAGATGTTTCAATATTTGGTGAACAGAGTGCTATAGTCTCCAACAAGTCAATACAAACGTGACTTAAAACAAGCTTCAATATCCTCTACAAATGTACTTACAACTTTCTATACTGCATGCTACTTATTGTGACCTGCTAATAACATCTGTTAGTTCCTTGTAACCTGCCTTATAAATGTAACCTTATTATAAAGTGTGCCCCTATTCCATTAAGGCTCTCTGCCCATCACCATCTGAATACTGTCACTGTGAAAATCCAAGTAGCCAAGGCATGTGATGTCAAATGTGTAACCCAAAGGGGCACAACTTTGTTGCAAGATGACACAGGTATATGTGTGGCTCAGCTGGTCACAGTCTTGCCTTTCTGTTCAAGTCTTGCACCTTAGACTCAGGTTCCTTACCACTTCTGATTTCCAGTGCAGCCCAGAGGAGATGACTATGTAACACACGTCTTTGTATGTGATATGGAAATAACCACTTAACACCAGGATGGCTTTGTTCAAATGAGAAAAAAAAGCTGATTTGCTGGCCAGTTAACACTGAATACATTAATTGAGCTCTAATCACCAAAATCCATTTATGAGAAGAGTTTCTGCACTGATCATAGCCAGAGACATTTCTGGGATTACATCCCAGTGTCAGTGCAGAGCCCTCTGACAGAGAATGCTTTGCACCTCTTCTGAGCTCAGGTAAGGGCTCGAGTGACCCCCTGTCACAGGTTTGATCACAGCCTGAGCTCTGTCCTAGCTTACTGTCTATGCTGCCATATGGAATCATCGAGAGACAGGGACATCCCGCCATGCCTCCTTCTACATGCAGCCTGTCCACTGAGCCATGGCCTCCTGGGGTAAGTCTAGACTGCAGGCTTCTTTCAGAAAAAGGTTTTCCAGAAGAGATCTTCCAAAAAAACTTCTTCCAAAAGAGAGTGTCCGCACTGCCAAAGTGCATTGAAAAAGCCATCTGCACTGTCCACACTGAATGGATGCTATCGCACATTTAAGCTGTGATTACTATAGATGGAGTGAGTACCAGGGCACGTGCTTTTTCCTCTTTCCCCTTCTTTCAAAAAAAACTTCCTCTTTTCCATCCACACATGCCTTTTTTCTAAAGAGCTCTTTCAGAAAAGGTGTTCTTCCTTGTAGCATGAGGTTTACTAATGTCAGAAAGACCCCTGCATTCTTTCGATTTTCTTTTGAAAGAATGCAATAGCGGTGTGGACGTAAGTGAAGTTTTTTCGGGAAAACGTCCACTTTAAAAAAAACAAACCCTGCAGTCTAGATGTACCACTGGTGTATATGGGTCTGTGCTTGTCCTATGTGGGCACCTGCCTACTTTGCAGCCAGTTTTATGCTGGAACTGGCAACCAGTAGCCACAGAACAGTGATGAATTCCTCCTCCCTCTCTCCTGTAAACAGGTGTTAGGAAAACTCCCTAGATCACTCCCTGTATAGCTCTTCTGTTGTGGCCCGCAACAGACCTGTTATTCCATGCAAGGTCATTCCAAATCACAGCAAGTCATGCTGGGTTTGAAGCGTGGTTTTTGATATGACAAAGCCCACCACATTAGTTGCTACTAGTAGCCAAAGGATCTGAAGCCAGATATTTGGAGGTGAAACGCCTTGTGTGTTTTCACCTATTTGCTCTATTACTTGCCTTCACCAACAAACCAACTCAAGCAAGATCTTTTCTTTAAAATAAATACAGCTATTTGCATATGACAGTCCGAGGCTACTCATCAGCTCTCTGTGGCCAGCAAAGGAAAGCGGTGCTGACAGAATGACAGAGACAGACAGCTGTCAGACAGCAAAAGTTTCACCTGCTGCATTATTCACACACATAGTAGACAATAGGGGATAAGTGGAAAATGGGCCAGATCCTCCAT